TATCTGGCAGCTCCATGGAGAAATGAGGGCCCAGAGGGAGAAGCCCACCCAAGCAGCCGCCGAGGCCCCAGGGGTCCACAGGGGACGGGGAGAGGAGGGGCTGCCAGGGCAGAACAAGCAGCAGGGCCAGGAGGCAGGATGCCCGCCTGGGAGGGTCAGGGAGGCCACCGCTCACCCCAGCCCAGACAGAGGAAGCGCTTTCGGATGAGGCGGTTCCGGAGGTGGCCCGTCACAGCCATGTAGGACTGCCAGGCCTCGGTGAGCACCCAGCAGAAGGAGGACAGGAAGAAGAAGTGCAGGAAGGCGGCCACCAGCGTGCACACCACCTGCGGGGGGCCAAGGGCAGGGCAGGCTGGGCAGGTGCTCCCTGGCTCCACGCCCGCGCCCACTGAGTGCCCATCTGCAGCTGGAAGCCCAGCACCCAGCACCCGAGCCAGGACCCGAACAGATCCCCAGGCAGAAAGCAATGCAGAGGTCCCTGCCCTGGTCCCTGTCCTGAGATGGGCTGTTGACCCTCTAAGCCCCCCCGGGACAAAGAGACCTTCCCTCCCCATCTTCCTCAGCACCATTCACAGCCACACCAAATGCTAAGCCAGGGGCCATCTCAAAAGTCCAGGTGCCTGCCCATGCCTTCAGGAGGGGCTGAGCCCCAGGCCCAGGGAGGGCAAGTCACACCCCAAGGACACCCAGCAAGTCACAGACAACCTCACCCACCCCGCAGCCCTGAGCTTTGCCGCAACACGTGCAGGCCCTGGGACCAGTCCTCCTCCGTCTCACTGCAGGCCTTCTGGCTTCATCCTCTCCCCTACGTTTAAAGGGTGGCCCCTTTCAGAAACAGAGGCCCCCACCCGAAGGCCACACCTGCCACATTTAGTGGGAAGGGGAGTCCGGGGAGGGCAGGCAGGAGCCCACCATGAGCTATCAGCTTCAAGGCTGGCAAGGGTGGGGGTAAGAGGGTGGACCGTGGGAGCCTCTGTCACCACAGTGTCACTTGTCTTTGGTGCCACTCCCTAGTCCTGAGGCAGCACGAGCTGAGGCCGTGTCCACTGCCCACAAGGGCCTGGGTGGGCTCATCCTGAAGGGTCAGCCCAGCAGAGATGCTGGGACACAAGCTGCCCTTCTCTGCCAGCTGACCAGCCTCCAACAGTCCCCTCCAGCCACAGCGGAGGGCGGGGCACTCCCTGCAGCTGGGGCAGCCTCCTCCTGCAACTCCTCCCACACCCTCTGCCTGCCTGAGTTTCCCAGGGATCCCACGGCCCAGGCCCCTCATAGGGTCCGTCCTCACTCCACCTGAGCGTCCTGGGAGTGCACGGCAGGACGCCAGGCTCCCTACCTTGTTGCGGGTCTGGGTCTGCCCAATGAGGATGAGGGCATTGGAGGAGATGATGGACAGGCAGAAGTTGATGAGGATGACAGACCGTTCCGAGCGGATGTACCTGTGGGAGAGTGTGAGGGCCCAGAGTCACCACCCAACAGAACCCCATCTGCACACGGACTGTTGTCCTGTGGCCTGCACCAAGGCCAGGGTCCCACCCCGCTTCCTGCAGTCATTGTCACCAACAGCACCACCACCAACATCACCACCATCGTCATACAATCATTGCCACCATCACTATTATGAATGCAACTGTCACCACCCTCACAATCACTGCCACCAACACTAACACCACCATCATCACACAACCATCACCACCACACCACCATCATCACAAAATCATTACCACCATCACCATTACCAACACAACCATCACCACATCACTATCACTACCATCACCACCACCACACCATCACCATCATTACCATCACCACACCACCATCATCACA